TTCATTCTCTTCTCCCTTGATTCCTTCTCTTCTCTCCTTTTTCTCTGCTCAGCTCCACCCTCCTTCTGGGTGGGGCAGGGAACCTGGAGCTTCCACTTTTCCTGGGGACCCCCCTGTTACAATAGCAGACAAACTAGGAAGACTATTTCTAGGATGATGCTATGTTGAAGATTTTAGTCTTTGCTCTGAAAAAGTTGGAAGTATTAAAATAGTTTGTAAAGAGGCATGACAGTATCTTGATGGTTATTCTGATTTCTCTGGCAGTGTACTGGAAAACAGCAGAGGCTGCAAGCACAAAGCACAGAGACCAGCGTGGATGCTGACATCCATGGAGATATAATAACATCTGTGACAATGATGGGGGAATGAAAAAGAGGATATCTAAATCATAGCTACCATTTGGAGAGCAAAAGCACTTTCCTCATTATATTATTTCTCATATTTTTTAGGCTATTGTTTCTCACCTGCCATATGATAGGTGAAGGTCTCAGCTCCACTATATGGATAACAAAGTTGAAAACACCTAGCAAATGGAAAAGTCAGAATCTGAACCCTCTTCCATATTTCACTGAGAACCTTAATAATGTCCTTCCTCCACATCACTTCTGTGTCAGCACTGCTTAGGAACCAAGAACAACAGAAGAAACACTCTTTTAGATGGATGTCTAGTCTCTGCTCCAGAACTCCAGTCAAGTTAGAGAGAAATCAAGGGAAAAGATTCACTCTGGATTCTAATCTTGTAGAGTTGAGGTGACATGATAAACTCAAGAAGCTCCTGGTTTTCTGGGGCAGGTGAGTGGGCAAGTGGGCAGGGCCTTTGTAAAAATCCAAGGTAGGAAGAGCCAAAGTGCATTCTCTTTTGAAGTTACTTCCTCGAGGTGTTTGTCTCCTCACGTGGGTCCTTTCTAATCTCTATGTGAAAGCAGAAGACTGGGCCGTGGGGTGACTGTGCCGTCCTCCCTCATCTATCACATTGTCTCTGGGGCCCCTACGGTAAAGTTTGTTTTCCACAGTGGAGATATTTGTTGTTCTTTTGGATACACCTAGCCTACCCAACCCCTACCTATACCCCCATGCCCTCTGCATTTAGCCATGGGAAATATTTTAGGTAATGCCTGTCTTGGTCACTAGGGAAAATAACTGGCCCCACAATACCTAGTACAGCAAGTAGTGGCCTGTTGCTTCAAGTCCTCAAAGTAAGATGTGGCATGATGTGATTCGGGTAGACCAAAGAAATGTGCAGAGCACAGGGGCACAGGTGTAGGGCTGTACAACATCCTTTCAACTACTTCAATGTCCAGGCTTTTCTGGACTTATGTGAAATGCATCTCCTTTCTCAAGTTACGTCTGTTTTAGCAAAGTATCTCTCAGTTCATAAAAATAATAATTACTGGCCCTCCCTGGGTGCAAAACAGGTTCCACAATAGTTCGATTCCCGCCTGTCCCGGAGGTGACCACATGGCGTGGCAGACCTCTCCTGACCTGCCCGCTGCTTCCCTCAGCAGTGTACTTCGTCGATCTGCCTGTTCTGCTCCCCACTCTGTCTCTGGTGAACCCTCTCGCCGCCCCTGAGCCTCTGGCCTGTACCCCAGTTCTGTATGCATATATATATATATCTATATATACATATATATATATATATATATAAGAATATATATAAGAATAATAATAATAATTACCATTTTTGAACAGATACAGTATGCAAGGTAGTTGATGTGGATGTTCTCATTTCATCCTTACATGGAGAAGAGGGGGTATATCATTCTAGAGCCTTTGTGTACCTAAGTCATCTTGAGCTATTCTTCTTGTTTTGCCCTAAGATCAATCTGAATCTGAGATAATACATGGGCAGGGGAGAAAAGACAAGGGATGACCACAAAACTCACCCATTAAGAACATTAAGAAATGAGAGGTCTTTCGTGATGGCTTTTTACAGAGAAGAAACCATGTGTTTGTTATACCAAACACAAGGTAAGCTTTTCTGGATATCTGTTTGCAGATCCCTTCCAAAGTCCTACTTCATAAGCCAATCCTAACCGTCCCCTCCCACATTTCTACAATTCATCCTCCTGTGAGGCTCTTTCAGCTTGCTTCCCTCCCAGATCCTTGCCTCTGAATCTCTCCATTAATTAAATTCTCATAAATAAAATTAGCCTCCCCCCTTCACTGTAATTCCACAAGGTGTAAGGAAGAAAATGAAAGCTATAAATAAATCAATAAATACACATAAATATAGATCTTTGTATTTGCAAGTCTTTACATATACAGTATCCTACTTGAGCCCTCTGAAGACTCAGAGTAACATGTGAAGTAATGACTCTTTTTTTAAAGGTTTATTTATTTATGCACACAAGAACTGGGGTACTGGCCAGAAGTGTGTGAGGTGACAGAGACAGAGTGGGAAGCAGAACAGGCAGATTACTGAAATACACGGCTGAGAGGAGCAGCGGGCCGGTCAGGAGAGGTCTGCCTCACTATGTGGGTCACCTCCCTGGCTGGGAATCGAACTCATGCTGCAGTGGCTGCAGATCCCTTCATAGTGCTGTGCCTTAACCCACTGTGCCACCAGGGAGGGCCCAGATATGACTCTTTATCATTTACTGATGAGAAACCTGAGATTCTGAGGGAAAATGAGTTACTTAAGTTTCCTTTGTAAGCATAACTATGCCTGAATCTAAAGGCTCTTTCCTTCACACATCTGGCCCCCAGGTTATAAAAGTTGCACAAGTTCATCAAAGTTGCACAGTGATACTTCCCAGGCTGCAGGGGCCAAAGATTCTGCCCTATTGCCTTGGGGCAGGCCTCATAAGCTATGGTCACAAATCCAGATGCAATGGCTAGAAATACAAGAGCAAAGGGGCTCTGAGGAATAAGAGATGCTTGTAATAAATTCCCTCAAGAAGTTCCAATGAGATGGCTTCTCTCTCCAGGAATGGCTATCAGAAGCAAAGTGGAAGCTGCCTCTGCATATTTATGGTATAAGAC